TTCTTTCATAGAAATAGTATGAAAAATGTATTGTCTAATAACTTGACCATCTGGGACAATTTGTCAAAGGGCATACATAAATGATAAGTTAAGCTTGAAGAGAAATGGAAAGAAAATCAAGCCTATTAACTCACTCAGGTCACTGGTACGTCACTTTCTGGCTTGCACTGTGGCTTTGAATATGAGTACTATTAAAGTTCTAATGAGTACTCTAATTATGTAAGCTTTAATAGACTTACTAAACAGTGAACAGTGATTTCTCCCTACAAGTACCCAATTAACTACAGGAAGTCTAAATTGAGGAGCAGAGAGGACTGGAACAGAGTAATTGTTTGCTAGATAAAATAGAACATAAATGTATAAAGAAAATCGAATATGCGCAAGTTAGTAAAAGTCAACGTAAAAAATGTACTCATTTCACTTTGTAAAGCCCTCTGAGACTTTTCTGAACAAACGTGTGTTTAGTGGAAATGATTATTTCTGCATATCATGTTCTATTGAAAATAATATTTATGAATTTGCAAATTAACTCAATTGGAGAAGGGAAGCAATATCAGACCACCTAAGAATTCTACACTGTAAAAGGGAACTGCGTATATTAGCAACATTTGAATCACTCTTAGAAAAAAGTTCCTTTCCCTGTGATTGCTAAAGTAGCATTATTAGTAAGAAAACCAATTTGCCCAACATCAGATCTATATGCTCTGGGGTTATTTCCATATAATAATAAAAAAGAAAGAAAGAGAACAAAAAATCACCCGAAAGATGTCATTTACCCTGGTGAGTCTGCTCTAGTCTGGGGCCTTAGAGGCTCAGACATTTGATTTCATCCACACACAAACCACAGACCCATTTCTCCTGGGTGGACTCATAAGAACAAAGCTCCTGAGACAGATGTTTAAAATCAGAATCCCTGTTTTTAATTTATATAGAAAAACAGAACCATTGCAAGGACTTGAATACTTGAACTTTTATAACTAGCCTAGCCTCTTTTCCACCATCCATCTATCAGTTTGCAGTACTGTGGGGGTTTGTGTGTTGTTATGATGCTGGAAGCTATGCCACCAGTATTTCCAATACCAGCAGGGTCACCCATGGTAGACAGGTTTCAGCAGAGCTTCCAGACTAAGACAGACTAGGTAAAAAGGCCTGTGATCTACTTCTGAAAAGCAGCCAATGAAAACTTCATGGATCACAACAGAACACTGTCCAACTTGCTTGCTTTAGACACATCATCAGAAGTGATCAATTCCTGGAGGAGGACATCATGTTTGGTGAAGTAAAGGACCAGCCAGGATGAGGGAGACTGTCAGTGAGATGGTCTGGCACAACAGCTGCAAAGCTGGACTCAAACATGCCAGCGATTGTGAGACACAAGACCAGGCAATATTTTGTTCTGTCCATGAGTCAGAGTTGACATGATCTATTGATTTATTGATCGATCAATCTATGAGACCCATGGTTCACAATGCAGCATAATCGTCTGCGCAACCACAAAGCACTTTCAATGTGAGATATTGGACAGATGTCAGAGGGAGACTGCACGAAGAATATGTAACTAGAGCAAACTATTTCATTTGAAAAATCCCCACCATCTCTTCCACTGTTTTCTTCCTAGGCTTCCAGCTGATTCCCTCTCTAGCCTAGATTCTTCCCCTCTCTTCAACTGAGCTTTTCAGCTTCAATTTCTGCCTGCAGATCTTACTCAGCTCCGTACTGATTGCTTAGGAGTTTTCCCTGGAAGGGGGAGATGGTCTCAGTTTAACCCACCAGAGACATGTCACGAGGTAAGGTTGTAGCAGTGGGGATAGGGAAAAATGGGCAAGTATTTTGGAGGCAAAATTAGCAGGTTTCAGTGACTGGGTCTATCAGAGAGGGAGAAGTCAAGGCTGCCTCTTTCCCAAAAGCCACTCAATGCCCTAGATGATGCTCTTACTATTTTTTGCAGGGGGTTGGGAGGCCTGAATTTTTATCACATTCACCTACTTGTAGTCTTCTTTTCCCTGTTTCTGTCCAAATGTATAAGATGGATTGGAGTAAACCTGATCATGACTTGCCTCAGGTTCTAGGTGTCTAATGGCTTCCACTGCCGTCTACATAGAGTTCAGACTCCTTCACATGGTCTACAGAGACCTTCGTAACAGAGTCCTTATCTGTCAGAAGACTCCATCTCCCACTCCCTCCCCTCCATGGGAAGAAGTATATTTTCAGGATTAACTATACTTCAGGATTAAGGAATGAGTTATGATTTCAGAAACATACCATCCTCTCTCATTCATTTATTGCTTTACACAACCTAGTCAACTTCTGCTGGCTTGCCTAGACTCAGATCAAGCATCCTTCACTTCTTCAGAAACACTGACACCCCTCCTGTCCAGGCTGAGTTAATAACTCTCCCCTGTATCCTTGCCACCTGTGCATACCTCTGTTATAACTAAAACATTCCTGATTATCCCCACATAGACCACAAACTCTTTGAGGACAAAGACTGTATCTTTTCCATCTCTGAAAACTCAGCACCTAGGTTGGAATAAAAACAAAAACCCATTTCCATCGAGTCAATTCCAAAACATCATGACCCTATAGGACGGGGTAGAACTGCCCCCAATAGGGCTTCCAAGGAGCAGCTAGTGAATTTGAACTGCCGACTTTTTGGTTAGCAGCCATAGCTCTTAACCACTGCATCACCAGGACTCCAGCTTGGAATAGGCACACACAAACTCTTTGTTGAATGAATAAAAGTAGTGGAACCAAGACACAGATCTAAGACTTCCCAGCCTAAATCCATTGCTTTTCTCAATATATCACAGCTAACAAGAGTGGTACATTAGGTAGAGGATTAAAAACCACGTGCCATCAAATGATAGCTCTCCTATCCCTAATCAACCACAGTGACAAAAATATTTGGTCAAACAGTGAGAAAATGAATAAATCAACATGGATAGTAAGAGATTATACTACATCAGCCTACATTGTTTCTTTCTCAAAATCTTTAACTACTATATATTGTTCTGTTGTTAGTTGCCTTTGAGTTGATTCCACCTCCTGATGACTCCATATGTGCAGAGTAGAACTGCTCCATAAGGTTTTCAAGGCTGTGACCTTTTGGACGCAAAAATAAGTAAAAGTTTCAGCCCTAAAGTTAGCAAGAAGATACAGAATCCTTTTAGTTACAAACATACTTGAGAATATTCTGAAAGATATACGTAAGCACATTCATATCATATCCATCAGTTGTTGTTGTTAGGTGCCATTGAGTCAGTTCCGACTCACAGCAATTCTATGTACAACAGAACGAAACACTGTCCAGTCCTGCCCCATTCTCACAATCATTGCTGTTTGAGCCTGTCACTGCAGTCACTGTGTCAATCCATCTCGCTGAGAGTCTTCCTCTTTTTTGCTGACCATCTACTTTACCAAGCATGATGTCCTTCTCCAGGGACTGGTCCTTTCTGATAATATGTCCAAAGTACGTGAGACAACGTCTTGCTATCCTTGCCTCCAAGGAGCATTCTGGCTGTACTTCTTCCAAGACAGACCTGTTCGTTCTTCTGGCAGTCCATAGTATATTCAATATTCTTTGCCAATGCCAGAATTCAAAGGCATCAATTCTTTTTCAGTCTTCCTTATTCATTGCCCAGCTTTTGCATGCATACGAGGCAATTGAAAATACCATGGCTTGAGTCAGGTGCACTTTAGTCCTCAAAGGAATAAGTCCTCAAAAGCACTTAGTCCTCGAAGTGATATCAGTTAAGTGTCCTTAATTCTTAATTGTTGTTGGTTGCTGCTGATTTGGCTAATATTGCCTGGTCCTGAGTTACTTTCATGATTGAATTGTATGGGAATTAATTCAATTTGAAAAGATAACTATTCTCTTATTTTCTTTCTCTCCCTTGCTATCTGTGAGGGGGCCTAGAAAATAAAAGGGGCAGAATGCAAATCTGTCAGTATTGTTACCGTTTTCTTTTTAGTCTTGAGCAAAAGGCTTTCATAACTATTTTCTTAAAATTATTTCCATTGTCTCTGATTCTATTATGAAGAATTATCAATGTTATAAACTTTTATGAAGTAACAATCCAAGCCATGTACATCCTGTAAAGGACTCTAATCAGAGCTGCTTCTCTCCTACCAGCAAAAATAAAAACCAGTAAGCCAAGGCAACTGCAGAAATGTATTTATTGGGAATGAACTAGACATTACACTAACCTGATGAAGATGTAACAATGCATAAAGCATAACTGTGCAACATTTAAAAAACCTTGAAGGAAAAACAAAATTTATTTTCAGAAGAAAATATTGTAGCCAAGTTACCTTAGTCTCTCTGAACACAATAATGCAACTTATAACGTTGACTTTAAACATTCCAGAATAAAGTTTACTTTAAACTCAACCGCAGAAAGAAAAAGCTTCTTTTCCCAGCTGGGAGATTCCTTGGCCACCAGCTGTGTATCATACACAGAAGGCAAGTTTCATCACCAGAAAGTAACAAGATGGTATGTGTTCTATTCCTGGTAGGAACCAAACAAACAAAAAACCCTCCTACACACAGAGAAATTTTCAGGAAATGTTAGCAACAAATCATTTGGGAGTCCCAACTGAATGATGTACCTACAATCTGCCATTTTCTTATCTTCTGAAACAGAACCTAGACGTTATATTAACTTAACTAATAAGACTTTACTACCTTTAAAAAAAAAAATAGCCGGGATTACAGGGCACGCTTATCTGTCACAAGATTCATTACATTTATAGTGACTAACAGTTTAAACGTGGTTTCAGATGCTTCTCATCTGCTTATCAGAGTTTTCCAAAAGCTTTAGTGCTTTAATCTTCTACCCTATGATAAAATTTCAACTTTGTTGAGAGTTTTCCAAAAGCTTTAGTGCTTTAATCT